TTATTACTATTATAATTATATATAATTTATCATTTTTATTAATTATTTATTAACTTTTTAATAATTATTTATTGTAGTGTTAACTTTGATTTTATATATATATAGCTGGATCTGCTGTCGAGCCTTCCCGAGGTGTCATGGGCTTAAATCGGTGAAACACCAATGAAGGGGGGTGCCCATCTGACGACTAGCTGTAACTACCAACTCTTTGACCTGGTGCTTGAAAGGAAGAGAGAAGGAGAAGAGAAGTGATGCTACTGGCTCACAGTTGGTGCAGGGCTAAGTACCTGTAAAGGTGGGCCAGTTGCGATGGCCTCATCGTATTTTGCATATCTTTTTCTGGTTTACCCAGTGACTACTTGGAAAGACAAGTTGGCGACCGAGGAAGAACGGTGACAGCTAGGAAAGACGGCTGACATTTGGGAAAGACCAAAGCTGGGGTGTGGAGGCTTGGCAGGCTGAAGCACAACCTCCGCGAGGAGGAACCCATTGTTAATCGCTATGGAGAGGTACATTACAAGATACCCCCAGGGTCGAGCGAGAGCGGGGGAGGATGATCGGCCTATAGGACAGACTATTGTTATGACCACTTATGATGAACAATCGACTATGGAACAGCCAAGCGACTTATCTCGGGTCTGCAGATGTGGGAGGATATGTAAAAATGAGAGGGGTCTGAAGATACATCAGTCAAAGATGAAGTGCTTGGAACCTGAACATAATGTGCAACGCACAGGGAAACCTGGTGAGACGGAGGAGAGGCCGGGGCAGGAGGCAAACCACAGCCCCCAGAATCTCCAGGCACATGATGAAGACGGGAGCAGGAACAGCATCATTGATGTGTCGGAGGACATGAAGCACCAGGCAGAGGCGGAGGGTACACATGGCATTAGACAACCTGGACAGGATATATGGGTAGGGGTGGTCCGAAAGGAACTGGTGAATTGGCCTGCTGCAGTGGCAAGGACGGAGTGGGAGAAGTTTGATCATGATGTGGATGAGGTGCTGGAAATAGCTTTGGCAGGAGATGTGGGGAAGAAGCTCAAGGCTATGGCTTCCATTATTTGGAGCATAGGTGCTGATCGCTTTGGAAAGAAAGAGCCGAAGGTTAAAACATACACCCAGCCAAAGGAAAACAGACGGGTGAAGGAGATCGCAATTCTTAGAGGGGATTTGCGGAGGCTGAGGAAGGCATTTCGTGAAGCAACAGTGGAGGAGAGACCAGCACTCACGGAAATTCGTGATAACCTGAGGGAGCGCATTAAAATTTTGCGAAGAGCTGAATGTCATCGCAGAGACCGGAAGCGACGAATGAAGGAGCGGACAGATTTCACCAAGAATCCTTTCAAATATCTGTCGAAACTTCTGGGTGATGTAAGATCAGGGCAGCTGAAAGCAACTAAGGAAGAGGTGGAAGAGCACCTTCGGCAGGTCCATAGCGACCCTAGAAGGGAGGACAGTCTGGAAGAGATGGAGAAACTCATAAGACCAACAAAACCAGCTATCCCCTTCAGAGCTGAGGAACCGAGCTGGCAGGAGATGAACACTTTTCTCAGGAAGGCCAGAGCAAAATCAGCCCCAGGGCCGAATGGTATTCCGTATAAGGTATATAAATATTGCGAAAGGCTCAGGGGACGACTTTGGAAGCTACTGCGAGTGGCATGGAAGAAGGATTTCCTCGCTGACAGTTGGCTGGTCGCCGAGGGATGCTTCATCCCTAAGGAGGAAAATTCTACAGGGATCAAGCAGTTCCGTACCATCTCTCTCCTCAACGTCGAAGGCAAGATTTTTCTTGGGATTCTGGCAAAGAGGCTGACCTCCTTTATGATAGACAATGGATACATGGACACGTCCGTCCAAAAGGGGGGAGTTCCAGGGGTAGCGGGCTGTCTTGAGCACACTAGCATAATTACTAAGATCATCGAAGATGCAAAGAAGAACCGTGGTGACTTGGCAGTTCTGTGGCTGGATTTAACAAATGCATATGGGACAATACCCCACAAGTTGGTGGATTTGACACTGAAGATCTACCATGTCCCAGAGCGTTTCCAGAAGCTTTTGCAGCGCTACTATGACAATGTTTTTTTTTTATATATTTTTTTTAATCTAAGCTCTGCAGCTTGAGACGGACCGTTAAGGAAGTCCTGCTCCATGGAGGAAGTGATGCTGGTCAGGTGACTGCTGTGTTCCCTGCAGTCTTTCTCTGCGTCCTCCCAGGTGTGTCTGCGAGGAAACAGACGGTAGCAGTGACCGTGAAACTTCTTCCAGCCGTGTTCACAGCCCTCTGTGTCTGGAGACAGAAAAAGACATCACTGGCAGGGTTATTATAGTTAATTAAAACTAAAATAAAAACTTTTTAAAAAAGTGTTACTTGAAATAAATATTAACTGAAATAAAATATAAAAGAACTTTTTAAATTGTCAAATCAACATTTCTCATTTAATTTAGTTTAACTTTAGGGACTAAAACATATGGAAGCTTGTTTCAGAAACAAGATTAAAAAAAATTACAAAGTAAATAGAAACCTCTTATCTCACAATTCAAACTCTTTTTTGCAATTCTGAGTTTCTATCTTGCAATTCCAAGTTTATGTCTCAAAATGTAAAAAAAAAAAAAAAATCTGAATTGTGAGATAAAGTTGCAGTAAAAAAAAACAGAATGTAAAGAGATGTAATCTTAGAATTCAGAGGGGGAAAAAAGGCAGAATTGCAATATGTAAACTCAAAATTGCATGGGAAAAAATTGTTTATTTCTTGCAATTCTGAGAGAAAAATTCAACTAAAATTCAAAGGAAAACAGAAAATATAAAAGACTAATTCAAAACGTTAATAAAAACTATAGTATATCAATGATAATAGAATAATAAAATATTGCCATCATACTTTATTCAGAATGAGCATCAGGAATTTTTTCATATGCATGAATCAATTCAGTTTATTATCCTAAATTCCCATAATCTATCTCTGTGCTAGTGTTTCTGCGGCTTCATCAGATGAACCTTCATCAAAACATTAAAAAACCCTGAAAACTCTGTCTACCTGGTGGGTTAGTTAAGAGGCATCATATAACCGCTCGAGTGTGTGTGTGTGTGTGTGTGTGTTCTGTGGTTAAATCTGAACGAAGGCCACCAGAGACCAGCTATTAAAGCAGCACACAGATGTAATTAAGTCTCTATCAGTGGAGGGGCAGAAGAAACACTGAACACCAAGGTCCAATGAGTGTGGATAATGAATGAGGGGTAATGTACAATCAGCCTGTCATTACTGTAAAATAAACCCCGGTGAAACGCCCTGAAGGGGTTTATTTTGTGATAATGACCAGCTGACTGAACATTATCCTGCTTATTAAATGGATACTTATGAAATAAATAAATGGAAATGAAACATTGATATTAGTGTAAATGATTGGAGTGTGGAGTAATACGAGAGACATGAAACTGACAAATATATAGTGTCAATGTAGACTGTAAAAAAAGTTGTAAATAAAACAAAGATTATTGGAGTAAAATTAACAAGAAAATATTATTTTAGTTTTTTATTACTTCAAAATTTCATGTTACTTGCATTCTTTGTAATAATTTGTGAATTTGACTAGCAATTTCTACAAAATCCTACACCATTTTTTCAGTGTACACACAATAATACGGTATAATGAAAAAAAGCAACACTGTTTGTACAGATATAGTGCATTGCTTTTAAAATACCAATAATTACCAGAAAACTATTTTATGTATAATGCAGGACTTTTAATTATAAAAAAGCCCGAAATACACAGGGACTCTTATTTTGAAAGGTCTATGGTTTAATTCTTCCAGCTGCTTATTTAAATAGGTGTGAATATGCATATGCAATATATGCAAGGTATTACTGGATATGCAATATGTTAACTTGATAAACTTGCATACTGCAAATGCAATATATTAACTTTGGCCATAAAGTAAAGGGGGAAGTGAAGTCTACGGCTCACATTTTTGAATTTAAGACTTTAAAGAACCCATGCCTGTATGTTCAAACTGGTTCAAAAACACTTCATTGAAAAACTTTAAGAAATGCATATTCAGAAAGTGAATGAACAATACTTCCCGAGCAAGACGGCTGAACAGTCGCAGTTGTGCTCTATTGGAAACATCTCAGATTAAACACGAACATGCAATGGACTGTGAAATGAATGTCCATCAGCTACAGACGCTGTCTAAATCTCTACAGCAGCATAACTATGATGAAGCATCTTCTAAATACACACACAATAATGCGTCTGATACAGCGCTGTGACATCACACTCGTGTCAAGTGCAGTTCTGTGCCATCAGCCAACGGTATTATTAGCAATAATGCATCATCGTTAGAGTCGCTGTCACCATGGGACTCAGAGGAGGGCGAGCGGATGCTCATGAGTCTGCAAAACCACTGAGATTAGTGCCACAATGTGTTACAAAGTGAGAGAGAGTGGTCAACATAATGAAGCATGCACACCACACCTTTGAGACGCCGACAAACAATGTAAAACTCTAATGAGAGGAATGAAAAGACCTGGCAGAACTCGCTGGACTCGCCAACGTTTGTTTTCTTTGCTAATATTACTAGCTGACTCCATTCAGATTGCTATTTTACTTATTTGACCGATTTTTGCACAATGCGAATTAGACATTACTGCATATTGCATATGGAAAATAATATTAATTTGAAAGATTTTTGAACATTGTGAATATTCGATATTTGCAAGATATGATTACATATGCAATAATAATTTGACAGATTTTTGCACGATACAAATATGTATATGCAGTTATATGCAAATTTGCATGTGCAATATATTCAATAAATTTTTGCATATTGCATAAGCAATATATTAATTAGATTTTTGCACAGTGCAAATATGCATACGCAATTTATGCAAGATATAACTGCATACGACATAAGCAATTGATTAATTTCACAGATTTTCTGAGATTTTGTCAATATGCAAATGCAATATATGCAAGCTATTACTGCACATTGCATTTGCAATATATTAATTTGACTTATTTATGCACAAAGCAAATATGCATATGCAATTTATGCAAGTTAATACTACGTATTGCATTTGCAATTTAATATTAATTTGACAGATTTTTGCACATTGTGAATATTGAATATTTGCACAATTTAATTGCATATTGCAATATATTAATTTGACTATTTTGCACAATGCAAATATGCATATGCAATATATGCGCACAAAATGATTACATGTATATCCTCCTGACAACCAGCTATGGAGTTTTGTCCTCTGTAGAGGACATTCTTTTTTGGGATTTCTCTGAGACCTTACATGTCACAGTTTTAAGTCAGGATGTCCTGTAAAGAGCACTAAGAGCAAGATATTATTGCATATGCAATATTAATTTGACAGATTTTTGCACAATACAAATATGCATATGCAATATATTAATTTGACTTATTTTTGCACAATGCAAATATGCATATGCAAGATATTTCATACTGTACATGCAATACATTAATTTGGTAAATTTGCATCTTGCATATGCAATATATTAATTTCATGAAATAAAGTAAAAGAAGTAGTGATGTCTATGGCAGTTAGAGGCTTGGATCAGAGTAAACAGCTTCAATTCTCTTTTAATTTCACTGAAGTCTTGTATACTTTATTGTATGCATCATTTATCAGCTTCATGTACTTGTATATATCATATATGCATATCTCCGAAGAATTAGAAATGGTGCAAAACTAAGTCAAATAAAGTAAAATAATGCACAGTAAAGCAAGTAATATTAGCAAATGAAATAGACTTTGGCATACAAATAGAATTTATGCAGTGAACGTGTCTCTAAAATCTCCCACTTTGACCAGTTAAAAAGTGCCTAAAACCCTTCTAAAACCAGCCTGACCAGTGGAAACCAGCTTGGTGAGTGAAGCTTTACAACAAGGATAACCATCACAATGACTGACACACAAAGATTCTTTCTGATTGGCTAAAATAGGCTGGGCCACTCCCCTTTTCTCCTTAGGACCGTCACAGAGCCACTGATTTCACTGGTACTCGAGATATTTCATGTGTGCTGCTCCACAAACATCACGTCAAGCACCTTTAGGCTGCTTTAAGAGGGATTTCCCAGCAGGGAACGGCTTTCATTTGAGTGGAATATGAGTCGGGTTGCAGGAAAGCATCGGATAGAGGGATGTTTGCACATGTTTCTGAGCTCATGTTCAAGGTTCGGGCGTCTCACCTCTCTCACATCGGTCTCCGGTGTAACTCGGCAAACAGAGACACACAAACGAGTCCTCTTTATCGATACAGGTGCCGCCGTTCTCACAGGGGTTCGACTGACAGTCATCCACATCTGAAACAACAATCGTCACAGAGTTAGAAAGCATCACTCAGGAGTCTCTCTGTGTCCCACAGCAAAACTACTTCTATTTAAATATTAACTTGCTCTCAGATGTTTCTCCCAAAGTTCCCTAGTAGAAATAAATTATACACATTAAGATTACTTGGGTCTTTTCTCTGTAAAAACACGGACTTCAGCAAACATCTACATATGTATATTCATATACAAACCCATTTTGTTGTTATTGTAAAGTAAAACTATAAAAAAACACACACACACACTTTTTGGTAACTGAAATAAAGCTGAAATAAAATGAAATATAAATATCAGATAAAAAGTCTAAAGAAAAAAAGTAAACTTAAAAGTAAAAAAAGGAATTTAATAAAAATGATTACAATTAGAAAAGCTAATAAGCACACACACACACACACACACTGATACACACACACACACACACACAAACAAACACACACACACACACACACACACAAACACACACACACAAATTGTTGTTCCAAACTCATATGATATGGAAGCCTGTTTCTGCCACGGAATTTAAAAAAATATAAAAAATTATTTCACAATTCAGACTTTTTCCCTCAGAATTCTGAGTTTATAGCTCACAATTCTTTTTTCTTCTCAGAACTGCGACATGCAAACTCATAGTTCTGAGAACAAAAGTCAGAATTTCCAGATATAAACTCAGATTTTCTGACTCACAATTCTGAGTTTATATCTCGCAATTCTGTTATTTTTCTTCCACATGATAAAAAATAAAAAAAGCTATTGTGACTTTTTCCTCACAATTCTGCGTTTATATCTTGCAATTCTGCATATTTAGATTTAAGAGAATTAGATTTCTCTAAAAAAGCCGCAGCAGAGGGAAAGATTTAGAGAAAAAAAACTTCAATTTCAGTTTGTTTCTCACTTAAAACCATTATATTTATCATAAAACTGCACTGAATGCAATATACCTACGTAAGTTGCTTTGGATAAAAGCATCTGCCAAACGCATTCATGTAAAAACAAAAGTAAAATATTATTTCAGAAGACTAGGAATATAGCAGGGTTATTATTGTTCACTAAAACTAAAACCATAAAAAAAATCTTTATTTTAAATAAAATAAATGTAAATAAATTAAAATAAAATATAACTTATTTCACCTACTGTAGTTTCTAAGGAAAATATTTCTCATTTTTGTTTAGTTTAAGTACAAAAATAACTAAAACTAAATAAAATAAGTAAAAATAATAAATAATATAAAGATATTTAAAAACTAATAAAAATGGCAAAAACACAGCAAAATTACAAAAACTTTCAGTAAAAAATACAATAAAGTGTATAAAGTAAAAACAGAAAATATAAAAATAAAATCAAAACAAAAACTATAATAGTATGTCAATAATACTAAAACATCACTGGAATATAATGTACACATAGACTATTAAATGTTGTTTTTAAAAGCATAACTAAAACAAAAACCATAAAAACATTTGTTACTTGAAATAAAAATAATCAAATATTACAATAATCAAATATGAAAAAAATTAAACATTTTATTTCAGCTATACTGTAGTTTCTAAGGCAACATTTACGCTTAAGTAAAATAACTAAAACTAAGTAAAATAAATAACAATTAATTAATACAATAGACATATTTTTTATTAACTAATAAAAATGTCAAAAACACTACTAAAACTTTAACTAAAATTTAAGTGAAAACAAAATATAAATAAATAAAAAATAAATAAGTATATCAATGAGACACTGTTTCATTCAACCAATTAAAAAAATGTAGGGTAATGATTCACATCTATATTTTTTAACTTGAGCCAATGAAAAATAAATAACTTGCCCTAACAATATTTTCTATGTCTATGAAAACTATTTTATAAAACCTGGCACAAAGTATATTTTTCTTGTTGAAGAAAGTCAATTAATTTAAATTCTATTTTTGATCCAAACAAAAAAATATAGATTTAATCAAAACAAAAATTCTCATTTAAGACATTTATTTGTATAGTTTTCAAAGACATCGAAAATATTGTTTAGGGCAAGTTATTATTATTATTTTTTATTATTATTTAAAAAAATATATATAGATGTGAATCATTACCCTAAATTTTTTTAATTGGTTGAATGAAACATTTTTTTCAGTGTACTAAAACAGCACTGGAATAAAGTGCACATGTCAAGACCATTTTATGTTGTTTTTAGAGCGTAGAGAATAAATCACGGAAAAGAGCAGCTCTGAAGAAGAAATCAAGACATGCAGGTTTGAAGCAACATGAGGGCGAGTAAATGAATCTTTTTTGGTTGAACCATCCCTTTCAAACCTCACAGACGGCGTAGGACTGTAGATCATAGAGCGGTAATATCAGGAGGTTAAAGTGAGCCGACAGAGACGTGGAGTGCTGAAGAGTCATTTAGCGTCTGTCACAGGCCCGTGTAAGCGCTTTACAGCTCACGGTCGTACAGGATTACTCACCAGCAGCAGTTTATAGGACATTAATGCAGACGTTTCCCAATATAGCAAACACTTCTGAGGCTCGGCGTTTGTCATCAGAGGAGCTTGAAAAGATGAAGCTGAAAGACTTAAAGGTTTGCGTAACGCGTCAGTCACAAAGTCCCAAACTGCTGCTCATAAACTTCTTGAAGTTTTTAGGCTTTAAGTGGATATCAGACGAGCAGAGGATCATGGGAAGGCTGTATTCGGAGCTCAGGCTGATTTGATCGCCGTGTGACTGGAATTAAATGAAGCCTGATGAAAACTGAATCTCACGAAGCTTCTCAAGATCATATCTGGGTCACATTTCACCCAGGTTTCAAGTTATTAAGGATCCCTCTTCAAATTCTCATTACTATAAAGTGTAAAAATAATTATACATATATACATATCTATATTTTTAATTATAAACTATTTATGTTCAGGGGAGTGTTTTTTGTACTGCCTTTGATTTTTATTAAATAAAAAAATATTCATTTAAATATTTGACTAATATTGATTCATATTAAATCAAAAATCCACTGTATTGCAGTACATTTTTATTGTAATACAGTCATTTTTATTACCATATGAGAATCTAATGATCCACTAAAGCAAAAAGGAATTACAAGAATTACATTTAGAGGGATAAGGTCATAAAAAAAAAATATATATAGTAATAGTAAAAAAATAATAATAATAGTGATAGTAAAAACACTCTTTTCTTTACAACAGAATTAAACAGAATTTCTTTAATATTGATTAAACTAATTATACTAATAATATATACTTGAATATATATATATATATATATATGAAGAAATTATTTAATTGCTTAATATTTAATAATAATAATAATAATAATAATAATAAATTAAGCACAATATTAAAGAAATTCAGTTTATTATAACAGAATTGCATACATATTAATTAATAAATTACTTAATAAATTACTAAAATTATTAAAACGAATTAATAACTAATATAAAAAATATTATATACATAAAATAACAATAACCAAAACAAAGTAAAATAAATATAAATGAATAAATACTATAAAGACATATAAAAAAACTAATAAATGTCAAAAACACAACTAAAATTTTACAATTAAAACGAAAACAGAAAATATAAAAATAAGATCTAATAATAAATACATAATAATAAATAAAGCACAATATGAAATAAATTCAAATAACAGAGTTATATACATATTAATTAATAAATTACAAATTAATTAATAACTAAAATAAAAAATGAATATACATAAAATAACAATAACGAAAAACTAAGTAAAATAAATAAAAATTAATAAATACTATAAAGACATATTAAAAAACTAATCAAAATGTCAAAAACACAACAAAATAACTACAATTTTACAATTAAAGTGCAAACAGAAAATATAAAAATAAGATCTAATAATAAATAAAACACAATATTAAATAAATTCTGTTTATCATAACAGAGTTATATACATATTAATTAATAAATTACTAATTAATTAATTAATAATATAAAACATGCATATTCATATAATTGTTGATAAATATTCATATTATTATTAAATAATAAACATCAAATAAAAATAACTAAAACTAAGTAAAATAAATAAAATACTAGTAAATAAACAATGTGTGTGTATGTATTATTCCATAGAGTAAAGCACAAACATAAATAAAATTGGTTTACTCTATGCAAAGAGATTTTATATACTTATATAAACTTTTTATATAATAAAATAATGTTTGAAAAGATTCGCCTCTAAATATCACATTAAATAAGTGAACATTCATCAGTAAAAAGGAAAAGCACCTACTGAGGTCATATCCTGTTTCTTAAAGACTCACAAGGTACTTCTGCTCCTCATGAATATTTGAATCGGCTCATACATTATGCGGATGGTTTCGCCGCGAGTCGCTCTGAAAGAGCACATGAGCCTCTGAAGAGTTTCCCTATCACTGCTCCGCTCACATCTCAGACTGCAAATCTACAGCATATACGTCCTCAGAGAGAAGAAAACACTCTCATCATCTCCTCACTCTCTGCTTCCTTTCTGAACAGAAAGGAGACATCAATGAGAGACTGTCATCTCCTTGAAAACGAAAGTCAGTCGTAAAGGTCTGGATGAACCATTATATTCAAATATCTAGCTGAAACGTTTGTCACCAACCCAACATGCTAGTCTATAAGGCCATTAGATGTATCATTTAATCATAATAAAAGCACAAACTGAATTAGCATTGACCTTCATCTCATCGTTGTCGTTTCGGTCTCAGAGCACACTGCAGTAAATGTGAAGAGGTCAACATAAACCTGTCAACCTTCCCCTGACCTTTGACCCCCAAACGCCCACCCTTGTGTCTCACATGATGGACTGCTTGACCTCTGACCTCGGTATTGACCTCTGCCTATAAGGCAGCTGGGACAGAATCCTTCTCAATAACTGGATTTGTCAAAGATGCAGCCTTTAGTCAGAGAAAGTGTTCTGCTTCTCAGATAGAACGTGAGCTCACGAGCGTCTCATCTAGAGTTTCAGAATAGATCTCAACAATGATTTGCTAAAATACTGGAAAAAGCTGCTCCGCATTCGTTTTATAGATCTAAACTCTTGCTGGTTATTGTTAACTAAAACTAAAACCATAAAAATACTTTTCAGTAATTGTAATAAAGCTAAAAATGAAATGAATACATAAAATATTATAACTTCAATAAAAAAACAAACCAATAAAAATTAGTATTAAAGCTAAAAAAGCCCATAAAATTACTAAAACTGAAACTAAACTGAAAATATAAAAATAAAAGCTAATTCGAAACATTAATAAATACTATTAATAATAAAATAAGACTGTACTGGATGATCAAGGGATTTTTGGAGGAACATCGGAGACAAAGCTGAACATTTTCTTCTAGTTATACATGCAGATTTTATGACACGAGTGTGATTTTAAAATATAAAGCTTCAACATTTATGATTTTTTAATGGCCTTTTCAGTTCTTCAGATAGACTGGATAAGGACTTTAAAAAATCATTTTCGGGGTGAATTAATCTTTTGATTTAATAGATTCAATATTCCCACACATTTTGATTCATGGAATTTCAGAACGCTTCCAGATATTAGTGATTACTGAAAGACTTTTAAATCATTTTATAGAGATACAAAAAAACAATTTCAGTTCTAAAAAAATCAATCACAATTTTAAAGTTTTCCAAGACCTGGGAAACATCGGATCCTTGTGCACTCATGCTTGTTTTTGTGTGTTTTGGGATGTTAAGATGAACTGCAGGCTTGCTTTTTTTTTATTCTTGATAGAAACACTTCTTAAGAACATGCAGTCTTCTCTTTTTACACTTCTTTATAACAAGTAAAGTGCAAATGGACAAGATTAAACACACAAATTCCCCACTGACACTTTGACCTGCTACAAACTATCATGTGTAAAAAAAAATTACACATCCACTTGTGCTAGTGTGTACAGGAACACATTTCTGTCAAGGGTTTTAAAGGAATAGTTCACCCAAAAATGAAAATTAGCTGAAAATGTCCTCACTCTCAAGCTGTAGATGAGTTTGTTTCTTCATCAGATTTGGAGAAATGTAGCATTGCATCACTTGCTCTGCAGTGAATGGGTGCCGTCAGAATGAGAGTCCAAACAGCCGATATAAAAACATCACAATAATCACAAGTAATCCACACCAGTCCAGTCCATCAGTTAATGTCTGGAGAAGACAAAAGATGGATGGCCAAAATAGTCCATAATCCATAATTAATGCTTCCTCCTGAAAAAAAAGTGGTCTGAATCAGGAGAGAAATCTGCACAGATCAAGCACTGTTTACAAGCCAAAACAGCTCTAAACAAATACGTGGCTGGATTTTGATGTGAGAGACAACAGGAGATGCACTTTTTCACTGCAGGAAGCGCTATTATGGATTATGGACTCATATTTTAGCCAGAAGCGACGATTTAAAGTAAAAAATGTCTTAATGCTGGATTTGTTTCAGCTTTTGTCTCCTCAAGACATTAACCGATGGACTGGAGTGGTGTGGATTACTTGTGGATTATTGTGATGTTTTTATCAGCTGTTTGGACTCTCATTCTGACGGCACCCATTCACTGCAGAGCATCCACTGCTGAGACACTGATGCAATGCTACATTTCTCCAAATCTGATGAAGAAACAAACTCATCCTAATCTTGAGGGTGAGTAAATGTTCAGCAAATTTTCATTTTTTGGGTGAACTGTTCCTTTAAACTCTGGATTTGCTCACCGATTTCACAGCTCTCTCCTGCGTAACCCTGCGGACAGAAGCAGCGGAAACCCTCTCCGTGAGGAAGACACGTCCCTCCGTGCAGACAGCTGCATCTGTCGTCCGCTGCACAACAGAAAACACACACACACACACAGTCTGGTGTCAGTGACGCTCTGGAGGTGATCCATCACAATCTGTCAAGACATACGTGACCCACGCGACCCTCTGAAAGACATCCACAGCGAGTCCTGAACGCCCTAATGAGAGTTTAGACACATGTCAGCAAGGTTCAGGGACAAAAACCTGCTTAATGAGTCCAGTTTTCCAAACATCATCTGTCTTACATTAAAGCACTGGCAAGTTACTGACAGAAACGAGATCTGAACGTTTACCTGGTGCAAAACACGCTGCCATAAACACTAATATCAGCAGTAATAACAGTGATGCTTGACTTAGACATTTAAATGCAATAATTGTTTAGGTGTGAGATCGAAATAAAACCGAAATTGCAATATGGCTAAGTGCGATTATCAAATAAATATATGCACTACATGAACAAAAAAGAGAAGCTTTAAGATCTCAGTGGTGTAATGTTTGAAAATGATGAAATTAAGACAATTAAGATAATAATTATTAGTATATTATAATTTTTTTATAAATACATGATTTTTTTCAAATATTACAATAGTAATATACTTTATTTAGTAATATTATTATTATCATGCAAATATATTTATATTAAAATATAATTATTATAAAAAACATAAAATTATACAAATATAAAAAATATTAAAAAGTTTCCAGGCAGCTACAATTATGCTTTTAAGGAAGAACTATACTGCAAAAAATGATTTTCTTCTTCAGTATTTTTTTTTTTTTAGTGCAAATATCTAAACATCCATAAAACAATCTTCTTGAGAATCAAAATTTAATCAAAATGACATAAGATATTAAGTCTTGTTCTCTGAACAAATTATCAAAATTATGCTTAAAACAAGAGCAAATATCCGCCAATGGGGTCAGAAAATTCGACTTAATTCAAAGAGAAAAAATATTTGTTCTTGTTTTAAGCATAAACAATAATAATAGCTTAATAGCTCATGTCATATTGCATCTCAAGTAACTGTATCTTATTTTAAGAATGTTTACATACTTCCAGACAAAAACACTTTTGCAGTGTAATCATTGGATCTGAAAAGAGATCTTTCAAAGATCTTCAGTATCTTTCAAAAGTCACATCTGCATGTAAAGAATATATTCCAATAAAGTGAAACTATCATTATTTATCATTTATAGAGTGACAGCAAACGTAGGTCTATTTGCATTTTCCAAGAATTGAGGAATGTTTTACTTTATTTCAGACGTGTTGCATGCTGGTCTATTAGTTTTAGATTCACTCCTAAATGTCACATGAAAGATGAGCTGTGATTGGTTAGTTTCCATGTCAGTCAATTTAAGTGGGCGGATCTTGAGCAGAATAAGCTGCAGAGTGAAGCAGACATTCTGATGACATTCAGTCTGAACACACAATACTATGCTTTCTCTAGAGTCTCTCTTCATTACGCCTCACACACACACCTCAGCTCTGTGTGTGTGTGTGTGTGTGTGTGAGTGTGTGAGTGTGTGAGTGTGTGTGTGAGTGTGAGTGTGAGTGTGTGTGT